AAATTTATGTAAAGAGCTGGTCGTCCTTGCTATAATAATAGTTCAAAAATAGATAATGAAATTTCAGTCAAATTACTTTATGCTGAGTGAAGTTATGAATGGTTGAAGTTTTGACCAGATATAGCGTAAAATTTAGTCTCGATTGTCAATTACCATATATATATATCTACGATAATATCTAAGTCGCGATTTTCCATTTGAACGTTAAACTATTTTATGGCGCCGTTGTCGTAATCCATTTCATATCTCAGCCACCTGATGATGGGGTTTAACGTCCACTCGACACAAACTAGGTCATTTCAGGACTAACACATGGTTCACTTTTATTTCAATAATTAGCTTGTGCGTAGGGGTCTTTAGCAGTGGGGGGAAACCGGAGGACTCGGAGAAAACCCACGAGGTTGGACTACTCCTTGTCACGTACAACCGGGGCATCGAAACCCCGCCAGTTGACTCAATGATATACCGTATGATACTGCGCGCGCGTGCTAAACAAGCCAAAAAAAAAAGATCTACAACAGGCAGACCTTTCTCTTGCATAACGCACCTTTAATGGCCGTTAATGACAGGTAGCTGTATTAATACAATTTGGCTGAAATCGGGCTGATTGTGTGTAGACCGGACTGTTCAATAGAGGTACGAATTTAAAAGAACGTGAACGGACAACCTGTTATGTAGGCAGACTACTTAACCCACTTTCTATGCTTCTGTATCAACAAAAAATGTTCGAGTGTTTATCGTGCGTGTCGAAGCAATGTGTACATTTTAAATGAATATTGCTCCAATATCTGAATATTTTGTTCAGTTCAATGATAAATGGAAATTTATTTGTTCAATAATAAAGGGGCCAGTGGCGATTCGTCGGACCCTACTGGCCAAGCTAGAGATTGTGCTGTCCGGAGAGATCCTTGAAGCCCCTACTCCCAACCTAACTAAACACAATACATATGTCCTGGTAAATAAAATTGTGTCCCGACTGCTGAAAGCCCCCCCCCCCCCTCAAACCAGACTGCCATCACCATAAAAGCCCACTTTCTGACACAAAGTTTCTCCTAAAAAAAATAACGACCACCGAATTAACATCAACTGAAATCAAATAATTAACCAATAAGGATTTGTAGAGTTTATTTTATGGAATCTGCTGCAAGAAGTATTATAATAAATCATCGCTTATTTAGCGCAGATAAAACTGTTGAATGACACAGACTCAAACGGGACTTCAACATCAAAAACCCACCACCACTTCTTAACTTTATATTATTCCAAAAATGAACGTCCGTGTTGCTGTCTTTCCAACGTGGTTTCCCCTTGTCAGTGGTCAGGGCGGAGGGCCTGACAAGGACAGCTGTCTAGTCATTCGGATGAGACGAAAAACCGAGGTCCCGTGTATACATTTGCGTGCACGTAAATGATCCCTTGACAGTTGGAATTGATATATGAGTAGTTTAAAGTGCCGCTGCCCGGGCAAAATTTCCCTCATAGCACACTAGTACGTGTCACCCGTCCTCATAAGCCCAGTCGGAGCAGAACAGTAGGACGTTAAACCCCATTTTATTTCATTTCATTGTCAGTGTTGCTGTCAGCAATAATGTTTAAAGAAAAGAATTAATTGTTGGTCCATATATAGTTTTCAATAAGCCAAGGTATGAATTCTGTATACAATAGAGTTGAAGTGAGAATAGCCCCACTATATATTGTTCTGCACGGATTTCTGATAAGTCATTGATCGGGTCTGGAGAATTCTGATCACATAGAGGATTTATGCGTGAGATTATTTTGATAAAGGACAACTGGTTAACTGACTTGCGGTGGCTCAGTGAGTAAGGCGCTGACACTAAAGTAACCCTTGACCGTTTGAATTCAATAGCGAGAGAGAGAGAGAGAGAGAGAGAGAGAGAGAGATGGGGTTTAACGTCCACTCGACACAAACTAAATCATTTCGGGACTAACATATGGTTTAATTTTTTTATTTCCATAATTTGCTTGCGCCTAGGTATTTAGCAGTGGGAGGAAACCGGAGGACCCGGAGAAAACCCACGAGGTTGAACAGGCGACCCTACTCCTTGTCACGTACAAGCGGGGAATCGAAACCCCGCCAGTTGAGAATTTATAGCACTGTTAAAATTATATGTATATTTACAGTTATAAGAAAACTTAAAATACAGTGTCCGATTTGTAATATCACATGGTTTGTTAAAGATACATTATGGGAGATGGAGATTAGATAAAGAGCTGGTAGTTCTCACTATAATAGTTAAAAACTAGATAATGTAAAGGGAATTTGCTGAAAATTTCAGTCAAATTGATCCACCCTGAACCGAGTATTTAGCGATTGAATTTGGGGTCTAGCCTCGATCATCATTAATAAAGTCCGTACGATAAAAAACATTAAATCATGAATGGAAGTCGAACGGGAAATCGGAACCTAATCCAATAAACATCGCCGGATAGCGATGCCATCGAGAGTTGATTATGGTCTGGATAAGTTAATTAATGTCTAATTAATAACTTTGATAACGTTTCAGGCCTAAAGAAAGGCCTGCAATAGGCAGATTTATCTCTTGCATAATGTATGTTTAAAATACAGTGTCCGATTTGTAATATCACATGGTTTGTTAACTTAATTTAAAAGGATGTAAATGCATATGAATACAAGGCTTATGCAAGATTACATCAGATTTAATGTAGAAATACAACCATATGTCAGTTTACATTATGTAAACATTATATTAACAGAATTGCCATCTGAAATATTATTTTTACAGAGAATTGTAAATTTACTGTCAAATAGTGGTCACGTCGGTTATTCCCTTTGACCACATATCGAATACTTACTGTTCTGTCAGTCAGTTTAGACGATCCATTTTCGAGAAATAGATTATTCAAAATCTGAATGCACTAAACTGGCTAACAAAGACAGGCCATACATTGGGTTGTGTGGGTGGGACATTATGTACGGTGTCATTCCACCTACTCTTTCCATTGTAAGGAACAGAACAGTAGGATTTTCTTTACATGCTCGGCTGAAAAGTCCGCCAAACTGTCTGTGTTCGCCAGGATCGAACCTAGGACTAATTAGCAAAGCAGGGACAAACACATTTCTTTTAGTAATTTTACCTTGGCAAATTACATAATATGTGTAGGGAGACTGGGGTTATAATATGCTGGGGAAAGAAAGACTGAAGAAAATAACCCGAGAAGAAAAACCGAGTTCGGTAGACCGAGGTTTTTCATTCCGATGTTTTTTTTTCTGAAGTCTTTCTTCCCCAGCATAACCGAGGACTTTATCTTGCTTATAAACCGTCTATGTTTACATGTACGTAAAATTAGAATATCCCAGAACTCCAATAAGAAAACCCCTATATCATTTTCTTATGGAAAATAAAAACCTACCATGGAAGAATAACTCCTTACAGGTTTAAAGACAAACTATCAGAAGAATAACCTCAAATTCCCCTTTATATATTCAAAGTTGCTCCAGAATATACCGCAAAGATCAAAGAGATTTACCGTTATAGGTTTATAAGTAATTCTACAATAGTAATGAGGTATTATTACATAAACTCTGTCAAAATACACGTTTTTTTTTTTAAATGTTATTGTACCATAATCCTTGAGTGGCATTTGTGCTTGATAACGATAAGAAAATACTTGTCGAAACGTCGTGCTATACTTATAAACAAGTGATTGTATTTCCATATAAACTGTGTTGTGTTGTTATTGTACCAATTTATGTAATAAACTGTGTTGTGTTGTTGTAATAAACTGTGTTGTGTTGTTATTGTACCAATTTATGTAATAAACTGTGTTGTGTTGTTATTGTACCAATTTATGTAATAAACTGTGTTGTGTTGTTATTGTACCAATTTATGTAATAAACCGTGTTGTGTTGTTATTGTACCAATTTATGTAATAAACTGTGTTGTGTTGTTATTGTACCAATTTATGTAAATTAACATCCGTTTACAGATTTACCTTGGATGTATAATAACTAGAGGTAAAGTTACATTACATACTGTGAAATAACATGCAATGTTAAAATACAGTTATTACGATGGCAATCTTTCTGCCAGTTAAAGATACATTATGGGAGATAAGATAACGAGATGGCAGTTCTCACTATAATAGTTAAAAACTAGATAGTGTAAAGGTAATTTGCTGAAAATTTCTGTCAAATTGAGCTACTATGAGCCGAGAAAGAAGCGGGTGAAATTTTGGCATAGTCTCGGTCATCATTACTAAAATCATTATTATAAACAGCTTAGTCTCGATTATCCACTTTTATTGATTTAATTATCAACGGACGTTAGCGGCATATAGGAATCTAATCCAGCCAACATCGAAGGCTAGCCTTGACATCGAGAGTTTATTATGGTCTGGATAAGTTAATTAATGTCTAATTGATAATTTAGATAACATTTCAGGCCTAAAGAAAGACTTGTAATAAGCAGATTTTGCTCTTGCATAATGCATGTTTAACAAAAGGTAAAAATACATAATAATTTTAATAATGTACTATCAGGTGAAAACTTTCCTATAGCACACTGTATTGCGTGTGCCCCATGGAGCAAGGACCGCGAGTTTAAGATGTAGTTAAGACGAGATCAAGCTTTCTATTGAAGATGAGTGTGCCCAGGTCATTCAATATCCCAGTTGGTGCAGAAAAGTAAGATGTTAAACCCCATTTAATTCGTTTATTCATTTGACTATATCCTAGCTGATGTTTAACGCCTGTTTCCACACTCGTGATAAAACAACAATAAAGGACAAATTATCCCGGTTCATTGTTTATTTCACTGATTCGTGTTTAACGTCTGCTTCCACAGTCGTGATAAGAAGTAAGAATAAAGGACAAATTCTTAAAGATTATTTGATCCTCCATTTACCAGCTGGTGCCGCGGGAAATCGAACCACAACATTTCCCGCGAGTTTCATTGGCCAGTGACTCGCAGCTAACCATAAAATATCAATACAAATACAAATACACTGCCTGCGTGGATTTAAAAATAATACCAAGGTAGAAATTTATTCTTAGTTTCCTAATCGATCCAGAGCTACGTGTTCAGAGAAAAGTTTAAACTTCTTCAAGACTACAGGTGTGGCTGATATATTTGGATGCCGACAAATTAGCTTCCCAGAAACGAGGGTCTAGTCGAAATTTTGAATGATACAAACCCAGAGAATAGGACAATGCTGTATTCGAGGAATTTATATTTATCAGTGGTGCTGTTATGTGTGACTTATCTTGAATTGGCGTTAGGAGTAGGTTATGATTACACCTTCGAACTGGAAGATAACGCCAAGACGTGTTTTTCAGAGATATACGATGAATCGCAAGAGATAATCTTCGAGTACAAAGTCATTCGTGGCGGGAAATTGGATGTTGATGCAAAAGTTATTTCACCAAATGGGAAAATACTTTACAAACAAAGACAGAAGCAGTTCGATACCTTTGAGCTCGAACCACAAAATGGAGAGTTCAAATTTTGTTTTAGTAATGAATTCTCAACAATTAGTCATAAAGTCATCTTCTTTAGCATTCGTCCGAAAAATGTGAAATCGTTATCCGGACAATTGGGTTTAAAAGTTCCTACAGTGAAGTCCGCTTCCGAAACTTCAATGGATAACATCAATGAATATATGACGGCTGTTGTGGATTTCCAGAGAATATATCGTTTAAAAGAAGCCATTGGGCGCCATCTTGGAGAAAATTTAGGACAGAGAGTTATGTGGTGGTCCGTGTTTCAGACTATTATTATTGTATCTACGGGCTTCGGTCAGGTTTTAATTCTAAAGTTTTTATTCACTGAGAAAAGGAGATCATCAAAGCAAAATGAACAATAATAGTCATTTTTATAGCTTTATCTTATAAATTATTATTAAAACATTTTTAGTTCAAATTCTGTGTGTTTGCGTATCTCTAAAAAGGGGGGGGGGGTGGATGGCCGAATGTTAAGCACGTGCGCGCGCTGTATCATAAGGCCTGTCATTGAGTCAACAGGTGTGGTTTCGAATCCCCGGTTGTACGTGACAAGGAGTAGGATCGCCTGTCCATCCTCGTGGGTTTTCTCCGGGTCCTCCGGTTTCCTCCCACTGTTAAAGATCCCTACGCGCAAGCGAATTATTGAAATAAAATTAAAAACCTTATGTTAGTCCCGAAATGGCCTAGTTTGTGTCTAGTGGACGTTAAATCTCATTTCTCTCTCTCTCTATCTCTAAAAGGAGCGAGTAGGTTAAGAGGCCATCTCTCACATTCTGTGCACAGTATTTTGAAAGTTATAAGATAAATAAGAATAAAGAAATCAAATTAAAATATTGCATTTCATTTTAGCGTGGCGAATCCAAAATAATGCCTGAATGAAATGGGGCTTAACGTCCTACCTTCCGTACCAACCGTGCTAATGAACACGGGCATATCAGAAACAGTTTGGCTGGGCAGCAATTGAATTTCAACTGCCAATGGTTTTTTTACGTGCACGTAATGTGTGGGCGCGTACGGGACCTCAGTATTTCGTCCCACTCGAACGACTAGACGGTGTCCTTGCTAAGACCCCCCCCCCCCCCCAGTCCTGTCTCACTGACAAGGGGAAACTACGCTAGGAAATCCCGGTGAACATTCTCGGTAAGTATCTAACCAAGTTAGTAATCCAGCGCCAAAAGAAACGGGTTGTTTGAAAGCACCCGCCCCTCCAACCACTACCCCCACGCAATTTTCTCTCCAACATTTCATATCGCCTAGTTTGTCATGCCGGCTAACCAACCCCTTTTTTTACATAGCCATATATTTTTCCTTTAATTCATTAGAAACGAATGTAACTGCGTGTGTTTGTGTTTTACCGGAGCGAATTCAACTCAAGATCCACATCCCCCCCCCCCCCCTTACCTTCTCTTATAGTATTTCTGCATAGCTCCCATGTTATTGCTTCATTGCTTAATATGTTACAGCCGTTAATAATTACGATGTGTGGTACCATTTCAACCATTTTTATTTAAAAATGTTATCATGTCGTGACTCAGTGGGTCAGACGCTGGCTCGCTAACCAGGGAGTCTTGGCTTCGCTCCCGGTGTTGCCCGAGAAAGATCCTCGGGATTTTCCGGCGCAGTTTCGCCTTGGCGGTGGTACAGGACAGAGGGCCTAGTCGTTCGGGTGGAACGAAAACCCAAGGTCCTGTGCACACGTTGGCTTTTCCATGACAGTTGGAATTTGATAAAAAAAAGTAGCCCGCAATGCCGCTGTCCGGTCAAAATTTCATTAGCCCAATCGCAGCAAATTGTAGGACGTTCAACCCCATTCCATTTCATTTTGGTCTGTCACCATGGAATCACACAATAATAATTACAGTAGCAAGGACGTGTGGACAGCCATCTTCCTGAAACTCAGCTTGAGCAACTTTTCCGGTTTGGGGATAGAACTGTTTAAGCATGCATGAACCTTATATTGTCTAAGTCCATGGTTTAAGTAGCCCAATTTCAGATTAAAGCTACTCGTCCTGTCACATTTTTCAAAACCTTGCTGTGAGTCAAATTTATCAAACAGTTCCAACAGCAGGTGGAAATCCCACTGCCCTGGCAAGGTACCACCCGGATTTATATTAACCATACGAACCACATTGCGGATCGTTGCTGTCTTACATTTAAAACGTAATTAATTTAAATAATATGAAGTCAGTATCGTACCATCATCAAGGCACCCGCACCACGACTATATAGAAACAGAGATAAATATTTATGAAAAGTTTATTTCATGATAAAAATTAAATAAAAAACAAAAGTAACAAACATATATATGAAGTAATACTGGGTTGGTCTAAAAATGTAGAATAAAATAACAATACTGTTTGGTTACATATAGGTACATTACAACCTTGATTTTCAATACTGGCTGGTTACAGGTATGGCGATGACGTTAAATGCTCTCTAGGACGTCGGTCTGGCATCGCCGTCCTGGCTGGATAATCGTAATTAAATTCAGTTCCTGCTCATTTTCCACCATCAAGCGTCCCTAAAGCCATTACGCAGAGAGTATAAGAAGACCTACAGTGGAAAACCCCATTTTTCCGGCAACGTCTACTGATAAATTGTGGCAAACATAAAGGTTCCATTACGTTTAAACAGCCTTTTACGATTAATTCTCAAGAGATAACTATAGATTCCAAGTAGACCATACACGTGCAATAAAGGGTTTATACAATAATACATAGTTATCCAGTGTTTACCTACTTGTTGATTACAATATATTCTATGGTCATAATAATATACAGTTATAACACACTTATTGATTTTCACCTTGAATGGTTTTTACATAATAATATATATAAGCTCAGAAATATGTAGTGAGAGAGAAATGGGGTTCAACGTCCACTCGACACTGGCTAGGTTATTTCGGGACTAACATATGGTTTAATTTTATTTCAATAATTCGCTTGCGCGTAGGGCTCTTTTAGCAGTGAGAGGAAACCGGGGGATCCGGAGAAAACCCACGAGGTTGGACAAGCAAACCTACTCCTTGTCACGTACAGTCGGGGATTCGAAAACACGCCAGTTGACTAAATGGCAGGCCTTATGATACAGCGCGCACGTGCTAACCATCCGTCCATCCAACCCCCGCTCAGAAATATATGACACTATAGTTTATCGCAGCCCGTGTCAATTTCAATACGACACTTATGACTGACGTCATTATGGAACTAGGGCGTGTCGTACATTGCTATAGTATATCAGGAATTTATTATTGCCTACTAGTTTATCGCAGCGAGTGTCAATTTTTTTAAGATATTAATTCATGACAAAAAACTGTGATACCGTTTGCAAAACATTTCACACCTTGTGAATGTCATAGGTATTATGGCGTGTTAACAATGACTAACTACTTAACAATATTCTGTTTAATAGGAACAGATTTTAAAGAGTCAATGCATAATTTGGTGACATTGGGATATATCGATATTAATTTCAGACTCTAAGTACAAGAAAATAATACAAATCTAGTTTCAAAATATTGCCACTTTTAAAAATTATCGGCGCTATATTTACAAACTTGGTGTCCACAAGGCTTGTTGATAAAACGAGAATAAGTCAGTAAAGTTATCTTGAATATCCAGACACGACTTAAGTGGTGTGCTCATATATGTTAGTAGGCAAACATCACGTTTCGAATTGTTATCGGCAACCCACATTGTAAGCTTTGTCTCCATGACAAATTGTTTGCATAATGCAATATCTCTTTGACATGTCGCATGCGCACAATTGGCACTGTATAAATAAAGATGCACAGATACGATTACAAACTTCGATTAAGCAAAACGAAAACATTTTATAAGTCAAAGTGAAACAAAACATAAATAAATATAATGGTGTAAACTAAATACATATGAAAGCTTAATAATCAAATACTCTTTGGCATTCCTCGATGATTTCCCTCAGAACAAAACAAAGCCGACAAGACAAACCTTCAGGCAAGACAAACTAGATAGACATTGCAAGAAAAAAACAACAGTGAATGGATCCGGGCGCCAGCCGTAGGCTAACCATCCACTGCGATTTACGGCCCCGGGCCTGTAATGGTACAGGCTTCACACAAAATGAAAAATAAAATGATTAACAAAAAAGGGTTACGGAAATTATGCGACCGGTCTTGAAGGAGGTCGTCTCTTGAATAGCTTTGTCACTTTAAATACCATTCGGACAAGTATTATACATGTATATTCGCAATACATCGGTTTTTACAGGTACATGGAAGAATGTCGATTGGACTACGGTAACAGAAACATCATACTGAATAATTAAATTGTGAATAAATAAGTATTTGACAAATTGAACTCCGTCAAAAAGGTGTAAACATCAACTGCAGCCATGATCTTGGATCTCCTGATCAACATTCTGCCATCTTTCTTTATTTCTTAGCTGGCACATTTTTAGTGTAACTTAAACAATCTGTTTGTTAAATGCATGGCATCCACATATCTGAAGAACAAGAACATTATATATTTTACATTAGAAAATGAAATGGGGTTTAACTTCCTACAGTTCTGCCCCGACTGAGCTAACGAAGAAGGTACATTATTAGAGACCCCAATTATTATGAAAAAGTTACCATATAACCATGGTCGGCAGGATACAGCTTCCTTTGCCAAATTTCATTCATTCCCACTAACCTTGTCATCGGGCTGTTGATGATTGGAAATCGCTTAGGATGTTTATCCGCAGTAGTTGATGGGCTGCCATGTCCAGTTCCCCAACACGGTGGGTTCGGTTTGAACATGGTTCCTCGAGATGGTAAAGTCTGCCGTAATGTCGACCATTCTTGACTTCTAGAACTTGGATGAGAAGAATAAATTCGGTCATCTCTTCTTTCAAAACACCTTAAAGGTGGATCGTTGACTATTATCCAGTGGTCTTCAACCTGTGATATAACAAAAGCAAATCAATTATAAAAATAAGAGAGAGAATTTGGTTTATTTTAATGTTGATGGGATCACTATATATAGCCATGAGAACCCGGGTTCTAACAAATAGAGAGAGAAAGAGGGAGAGAGAGAGAGAGGGCGGGCCCGTAGCCACAGGGGGGGGGGGGGCAAAAAAAAATCGAATTACCCCCCCATAAAATATTTTGCCAACAATAATGATTTCTTAGGAGCGTTTTTAGCCGGCCACATCCTCGGCCCCTCCAAAAAATTCCGTAGCCCCACCAAATTTTATGAGCTGGTTATGGGCCCGGGGGGGGGGGGGGGGGGGGTAACGTGCACTCGCCACAAACTAAGTCATTTGGGACTAACAGATATGGTTCAATTTTATTTCATTAATTCGCTTGCGCGTAGGGGCCTTTAGCGGTGGGAGGAAACCGAAAGACCCGGGGAAAACCCACGAGGTTGGACAAGTGACCCTACTCCTTGTCACGTACAGGCGAAGAATCGAAGCCACGCCATTTGACTCAATGACAGACCTAATGATGCAAAGCGTACGCGTTAACCATTCGGCCATCCCCAACCCCATTTCTTTTAACCGGCCAATCAACAATTAATAAATTGAAGTAGTAGTAGCCCTGGCTAAATTCAAATCCCCAATTACATTTTAAATACAACCAATGGCTTTTAAATAACAAATATAACCTATAGTTAACGTAAGATGGGTGGATGTAAATTAAAATTAAATGCCATAAATACATAAATCGATCTGTGTTTATTTTCCCGAGATATTTCCTCGGGGTTTTGCAACCTGGTTTCTCCCTGGCAATGAAAAGACGTTTAGTCGTTCGGATGGGGCGAAAACCAAGGTCCAAACGTGCACGTAAAAGAAACGTTGATATTGCGTATGTCGGTCTTCATTGGTGCAGAAAAGTGGGACGTGTTACCCGTATTTGCCAAATGATAGCCTAATTCTAAAAAGATTTTTTCTCATTACGAAGTGATGAGTTACGCACGGTAACATTGGCCCGTGAACTTACATTGCTCTATTGTTCACGTGCTAAACCGCTAAAAAACTTAATAACCTATAGACATGTAATATGAACAGGAACAATGGCGTATTATTTACCTGGGGTAAATTCGTGGTAATGATCTTATGTCTTGGTACAGGTGCAGACAACCGTAAATCGGTAGGTATATATCGCTTAGTAACCCAGGTAACTACATCTTCTTCATTCGGAATAAGCCTATCACAATTTGGATTTTTTCCTTGTGCTGCTTGTTCCTCCACGTACCTACTGTAAGCGTGTTTATATGCGCCAAAAGCTCCCATGCTGTTTGCCGTCATTTTGGTGATCAGAGCGATACAAAAACAAAATCTCCTTCTAAAGGTGACAGCTAAACCTGCTTATAAACTGCACATACGGTCTCTAGGTAAGCTATTGTACGTTGTCAAGCAGACGATGGGGTCTCGATGTATTTCCGGTACAGCTTATTAATATTTAATACAATGGACATACAATGAAGATCATAACATATTGTTGTCTAAACTGATAAATTATGTAACGGCATTGAATCGTGTCACTAATTGTATGTTTAAAACACAACAAACAAATTTAATGTTAGGTTTGACATGCGAGAACACGTCCTGTCGAATTATTAAAATAAATAAATGCTGCCGCTCTTGAATTTAATCCCAAATCCCTGTGCCTGCTTAGTGTAAAACTAGTCCCGTATTTCTCAGTTTATCTTTCCACTTTACTGGGGATAAGCTTACAAAGTTTCTAAAACCGGATCGTTCAATAATTTGGAGCCTTTACAATCTGGGCAATATTTAAAAAAAATTATATCAACAAATATAATTATTATTGATAATAAATAATTAATAACTATTTTAGTGCTCTAATAAGTTTGAATGTTCCGCATAGATCTAGTAGATCTAATTTATCTTTTTGTATATTGTGGGGTTTTGTTGTATTTTTTTTATTTTTATTATTTTAATACTTGATAACTCCGTTTAGTTAGGCCAATAGCCTTCTGGGCTAATAAACCGTTGGATAATAATGGTTAACCAATAAAAAAAAAATATTTTGTTTGTTTTTAATTTATGACTCATTCATTTTACCTCATCCTGGAAAGGTTTATGTTATTTGTGGGTTTTTTTCTAAAATGCATTTCTTAGCTAAGTTCTATAAATAATTTCCCCTTTTATCTTTAGATTAAAGCCTTTAGGAAATCCCGATTATGATGTCATAATTCGCCTTGCGTGACCTACGACCTTCGACCCGGATATATCATCACAATCAAAGCCTCGATTTCAGATGCAAAATAAACCAGCTGGATCGAGTGTCATTCCTTCGCAATAGTAGTCCAGCTGCCTCAAAATTGCCAATTTTAGGCGTTTGTGGCTTCGCCGATGGAAGAATCTAACAGTAGTCAACCGCCACGCTGTCCGTGTGGTTTTTGGGGGTAAGAATTACTTTATTTTTGATCTTTTAGGCGTCGAAAAGTAGACGAAAGATTGACCGAGTTAGGACCTGCCCATTTCTAAAATGGTTGCTTTGTCGTTTCATTTGTGCGTGGTGAAACGAGAAACTCGGTTGACTTTGTGTTGTTGCTAGGGGTTATCTATTTGGGTGGGTCTCTTTTATTTGATGTTTTTTTGATAATTAAACAAATTTTCTAACCATATATACAAATTTAGAGAATATTGAAAACGAAGAAACCGTTATCTTGTATGACTAAGCGTGTTTACCAAGGTTGACGGTGGGGAAGGATTGACGTAGCAATAATGGCCGTATTAGTTGAGTGGCTTATTGGTGCGTAACATACTAGGCGTGCTGTGGCTATTCAACATCTGATAGAGATTTCTACAAATCCATCTTATATGTATATATTTTCCCATTAATCTCTTCCTTTTCAAAGTAAAACTCACTGTATTTTGACCTCATTTAACACACGAAAAGGTAACTTCCTTAGTCGCGAGATCGACTTATTCAATCTGATAATAAATGAGGTTTCTGGTCGCAACCAGTAAATTTATGAGGAAAACCACTTGGTTATGCCCATTCTTTGTTTATTTTGTGGAGTATATTATTGCGGAGTCATTTGATGAATTTACACAGATCAATTTGTACGATTTATTGTGATTGGATATGACATGAGGTACCTTTGAAAACGTTAGCTTGTAACTTCCCCAGTGTTGGAAAAGGCCTGGCAAACTAACAAGCTTATTGATTGAGATGTGGAGGGGTCGTTTCAAGGAAAGCGAGTTGTTTTCCTTTTTTTTAAATCTTAAAGATTTATGGTTACTTTCCATTAAAAAAACCAAAAAAAATCAAAACATATTTGGAAAAGATGTGAGAAGTTTAAAGAAGTTCTGGAAATAACTTGAGCTAATGTTTGGCATCTGTTGGTCGAGATATACTGTTGTATTGATTTGACAGGTATTGAGTTAGGTAGGCCCGTGGACCTAATTCATGATTCAGTATGGTAGGAGTGGTGAATAAAGAGCATTGATTTATCGAACATGGTCTCAAATAATGTGTACTCAAAATACCAGTATCTGGCAGACAACTACTGTGAATGTCGATGTGTATTTTTCTCTCATTGTCTCGCGAACAAATCATCTATGTACAATTTACATGCACTAATTTAGCCTTACATTGGATTAGCTACAGAAAAGAATGAACTGGGTAATTTTCTTTATGTTTATGTAAAGAGTTTTCAGTAACAATGAAAACAAATAAACTATGTCACTGCTGTATTCAGAACTTGGTCATAAACAAAGATTTCAATTCAATCTTACATTACAGGAAAGACCAGATGTCCTTAAAAATAAAAAAAAAAAATAAAAAATAACAGCTTTGCTGTTCTGTTTAGCATTTCACATTTTCTGAATTGATCTGTAAAACATGGTTGCTTTGAGTACTCTCAAAACTTAAAAAATCTGATTCATTGGTCAAGTAGTGTCTCTTGTCTTACATATTTGGATAGAAAATTAAGATTTTGGTTAGATTACAAGAAAAATGAGATCTTTAAAAAAAATGAAGGAAGTTGAATTATTAACTTGTTAAAAACAAAATTTCATGGCAACAAAGTATGGATTTTATTCGACCTGTATGTTTAATCTTGTGTTAACAGACTAAATGAACTTCCTGTCTTAAAGTACATTGTAGAAAATATGGAAGATTTTTAACAGTTTATTTTCTGAGATATTATATAAATTAGATTTGTTACACACTCTACCAGGTAGTTTTTAAAAATTTGTAGTATAGGCCAATCCAGTACAGATCATGTGCTTTACAAGGTGGGTGTCTGAAAAAGGACAGCTGGTTCCCTCTACTTCTACATGTTTCAGAATTACATTGTAAAACCTTACTTGAGTTTAATGATTTTAGATTTTTCAATTACATTGCCTCAATATTGTTAATATTTTTATGTTAATATTAGAGTTCACATTTTTGTTGATCGAGTAGAAAGTCAAAATATCTAACAGCAACTTTGGTGATGGATTGCGTCACATTTACAGATTGAATAAATCTAGATTGTTTTCTTACATGTTCAATCATTGAGAGTTCTTTTGACAACTAATTATAATGTATCAGTACTCTATAATAACACAATTACATACATGTATTTAGAAAAGCTCCCCTTTACATGATTTTCATTGTTTTCATTTTTGAAAGTGAAGCCTAACTTTGACCCAAAATTAGACATGTACAACAGAGTGGACACTTAAGATCAGCCCACGACATGATAGTACCTATATTATTAGTAGCTCACAATGTGTGTGTGCGTGTTTAATATACGTGATGCACCTTATCCATGTTTTCTGTTTGACTGTTGTGTGTGATGTGGTTCTCCTGCACTTAATGATAGAGCAGTTCTCCCTCTTTCCAATCCGGTTTCCTCCCACTGCTAAAGACCCCTACGAGCAAGCGAATTATTGAAATAAAATTGAACCATGTGTTGGTCCCGAAATGACCTGGTTGTGTCGAGTGGACTTTAAACCCCATTTCTCTCTCTCTTTCCAACTTGGGTTAGCAACTTAACAAGAAGAATTTCAGCAACAATACCATATACCAATCTAAAAAGTTGACTCTCAATTTTAATGTTAGAATTATATGAAACTATTGGTATTTGACATTTAAATAAAAAGTTTTGAAATTGAATACTGTATAGTGTCACATATTCTAACACCTACATGTACGTTATACAGACTTGTAATGATAGCAAATGATATGCAGTAATAAGACGAAAATGGATGAAATAATGTCATACCAGCACATTAATAACAATTCCAGAGATGCATCATTAAATTTTATTACCTTGAAATGATTAGAGGGCGATAAAACTTTATTTTACAGTATGGGTACAGTACATGAATGATTAAAATGGTTGGCAATAACAATATATTTTGTTCTACCTATCAGATCTACACAATATCAAGGTTTTACGACATGGATTTATGTACCTTAATGTGATCAATCAACTTTGTTACATATTTGGCAGAACAAATTGACTTTTTGTCCTCCGCCTTTCGAAGATAGCAGGGGACTATTATTGTTCAATCTCTCTGTCACACTTTTTGGGACACAATAACTGCTTCTAATTGAGCTAGAATTTTCAAACTTGGTGTATATGTAGGTGTTTATTAGTTGAATACTGGGTACCTTGATTTAGTTCGATAATGAGCATTTTCTATTAGGCTAAGCAGAGATACACAATTTGATTGGTCAATGCTTTGGGACACGATAACTTTGCTTCTAATTAAGTCAGACTAGAATGATGAAACTTGGTTTATGGTTTCATTACATCAATACCTTGACTATGTTCAATAATGAGCATTTTTGGCTCGGGTTGAGTAGAGTAATAAACAATTTGATTGGTCGAGACTTTGTAGCTCAACAACTTTGATTATACATGTAATCGAATGAGATAGAATAAAACTGGATATATATCATTGACATTACATCAATACCTTTCCTATAGTTTCATTACCGGTACATCAGTACCTTGACTAAGTTCAATATTGAACGCAGAAAGCGTTGATGTTTTGGGACATGATCAATTTGATTCCAATTGAGTTAGAGGGGTGAAACTTGGGGTATAGATTCATTATATCAAGTTCAGTAATGAGCATTATCTGCTCAGGGTAAGCAGAGCTATAAGCAATTTAATTGGTCGAGACTTTTGAGCTTGGTAACTTTGATTCTAATTGTGTGTGAGTGTTGAAACTTATGTTCATGTATAGCTGCATTACATAAACTCAGAGATCAGTACAACCTTACCATGACAATGGTTAATGAAGCGTGATTTGATGGGTCGAGCTTTGGAGCTTAACAACTTTGATTCTAATTGAGTGAGAATGGTGAAGCTTGGCATATCATTACATCAATACCTTGACTAAGGATGAATACTACGTTTTATACGCCCACATGGAAAGGTGGTTGTATATTGCTGTCGGTCCATACGTACGTTGACCACAATTTCATGTGAACACTACAGACTACCGGTACACTTATCATCTGATTGTTTTGAAATTGGTATATGTTGTTAACATTAGTGAGATGAAGAATCCTTTTGAATTTCAATAATTTCCGTTAATTTCTTTGGCACAGATGAGATGACCCTTGTTTCACTTTGTTGTACATTGTGAACACTGGAACGACAACAGTTAGCATCCGATCTGTACGGAAATGATATGCATCATTTAAATTAGTGAAACGAAAAAGCTTGTTGAATTTGAGCAATTTCTGTTAATTACTTCTAGAGTTATGAGTACATGTATTTTACTTTATTGAACCTTGTGAATGCTCAAACAGCAAAAGTTATCATCCAATCTGTATGAAGTTTATATGCGTTGTTTAAATTAGTAAAACAAAAAAAGCCTATCGAATTTCAACAATTTCTGTAAATTACTTCCAGAGTTAAGGCCCTTGTTTCAGTTGTAGAACCCTGTGAACCCTCAAACAATGAAAATTATACTCTGATCTGTATGAAATTGTCTTGTAAATGCCTCCCATTACCTACAAAAGAATAAATATGCGACAACTCTTGCTGTGGGTGCATGTTTCGTTGCCTGACAACCTATCTTTCAATTTAGCGAGGGACGTCGGCCTCTCTGTTGGCTTGTTTTATTTAGGATGTAAGATATAAGAATGCGAAAGTTGGGACAGTGTCACACTCACAGCAGGCTGAGTTAACCAGAATATGGGCTTTGATTTGTGTGTCGGTCTTTATACATGTATTTGAGGAGAGCAGTCGCTTATAAAGTAAACTCACATAGAATGAAACAGAATCGGTTACAGGTCAGCTTTTAATTGCTGACCTGAAATTTGAAAAAAAAAAATACCTGGCACTGAGTTCACATAGCATTCTCAGACTGATTGAAAGTTGAGTAAATTCTTAACTTTAAAAGTCTGAGAATGCTTTGTGAAATCTGGGAACCTGGTCATAAATAAATC